TGAAGTGTTTGAAAGTGACATACACTCACCTTTGCCAAGATTTGTCCTGCTAACCTGGATTGTTGTATAATGGATTTATGACTGCTCCAAAATTATGGGCCCAATTGAGCTTATTGCTGAGCCTGTTAATACTTTCTGGGAATGCATTATAGAATAAGACAACAATTTCAAGTTCTTCTCTAAAATTGATGGAGAAAACGAAAGAGATTTTTCAGATGTCCAGTTAAGTTGCTGGAGAAAGCTCCTCTAATATGTTTAAAACATGAGAGAACTTGAGGAGAGGAAGAAAACACTGAAGCAACTGAGGCTGATCTATTGACATTGGACAATTTTGCAGCCTGTTTGTATTAACAGAGACACAAGGCTCAAGCTTTGAAGAATATGATCATGGAATCGGACCTTTTGATAAAATGGAACCAACATATCACCCATGCAACCACAACCAAACTTGAGTGACTGCAGCAGCTTTTTCTTAAAGACAACAAAAGCAGTTTCCTATAGCTGCTTTATATTCATAAATATTACCTTGAAAAGATATAACAGCCCCACCCCTTAAATATTCAAGCCAGTTTGGTTTTTATTCTTTCTTATAAAATAAAACCAAACCAGCCTGAACATCTGAGAAGTAAGGTTGTTATATTGTTTTAAGATAATAATTATGAATATTGCTCTATAGACTAGGCATTGAGCACTTCCTAAAAATTTACTTGAACTGGGTGATTTCAGGATAGACTTTATCCTGGAGTTGATTTATACAAGAGGAAATGTTTAATATATATATATATATATATATATATATATATATAATCGAAATAAAAGTATAAAATTTAATATTACAAGACATATTAAACAATAAAAAAAAAACACAACAATGGTGGGGGAAGCAACCGGTTTCACTAACCTGCTCTTCAGGCTTCAATGGGAGATTCAAAATTAATACCGAAAAATGTACAATAAGGAATAGGGAAAAAAAAAAAAAAAAATATATATATATATACACGAAAGAATCCACTTTGTCCTCAACTGTACTATCAGTATGTTGATGACACCTTTTGTTTATTTAACGGTGAAGTTGAGGCTGACCAGTTTCTTTCGTTTTTAAATGGTATCCATCCGGCACTGAGGTTCACTATCGAAAAAGAGTCCAATCATCAATTGGCCTTTTTTGGATGTACTAGTACATCGTACATTAACAGGTTTTCTTACTTCGGTTTATAGAAAACCTACTTTCGCAGGGTTATACACGCGTTGGGACTCTTTTTGTCCCACTAAGCACAAGATCAACATTATTAAAACCCTCCTACACAGAGCATTAAAGATTTGCTCTGAGCCTTTCTTGAATGACGAAATTAACTTTATTAAGGATACCCTATGTAATTTGGGTTATCCTCTTGATACTGTTAATTCAGTTATCCGTAGTAAAGTTGAAGAGTTCAGAAGTGCCGATCTCTACACTGTCAAAAAATGCCCAGTTTACCTCAGATTACCCTGGATTGGTACCAAATGTGAAAAAATAGCTAAACAAATTTCATCAAAGGTTTGCTGTTGTTTTTTCTCTGAAGTTCGGATTATTTTTCAAACTCAGCCTATGTTTCGAGCTGAGTGTAAAGACATTCTTCCTCCCCACCAAATTAATTCAATTATTTACAAATACATTTGTAGTTGCGGAGCCAACTACATAGGGAGAACAACTCAGCGCTTAGACATGAGAATAAAGCAGCACGTTCCTACTAAAATTAGAAACCACACCCTGCCTTTGAATGGACTCGTCCCGAACACCTACAGTTTCGCCATATGCGAAGATCTTTTAAATAGCAGAGATTGTGCAGCCAAATTTAGTGTTGACTGGTTGACGGTGTTTGCCCTTTATTTCATCTGAAGGTTCTGGAGGCATTTTACATCGGGTCCCATAAGTTTTCTTTGTGCAAACAACATGAGTGTTTGCTGGGACTCGCTGTCATCTGTCTCTAGTTCCTTCTGCATATATATATATATATATATATATATATATATATATATATATATTTTTTATTTTTTATTTTTATTTTTTTCCCTATTCCTTATTGTACATTTTTCTGTATTAATTTTTGAATCTCCCGTTGAAGCCTGAAGAGCGGGAGCGAAACTGGTTGCTTCTCCCCCTTGTGTTGTGTTTTTTTTGTTTTTTTTTTTATTGTTTAATATGTCTTGTAATATTAAATTTTATAGTTTTATTTCAATCATTAAATTTTGTACCTACAAAAATATCTTTAAATATATATATATATATATATATAGGCTAGCTAATTCCTGTTGTAGACACCTACTCAGTTACATATGTTTTTTCAGCACCCACAGAGCCGATTTGTGGTTTATACTACAACCAAGCTGATCAGATCATAATTACCATTTTTTGTAAGAGAACACCCTGAATCTGGTATGATCCAAATGTTAAACAACCATCAATGCTCTCTGAACAGTTTCATCTCTCCAATTTAATTTACAAAACTTAGCTCATCTCATGGCATGCTTTACAGGCCCTTTCTAATGATACCACATGCTGGCATCACCCCCACTAACCCCTAAGCTGATAACTTCAAGAAGCCACCTCCCTGATCAGTTGATTGGGGTGAAATTCAAACTTGGGTTTCATGGTCACTATGCAAATTTTCTAACTACTCGACCATGATTGTGTACAATCGTGCATACAAAACCAGCAGTCATGGCAACAACTGTGACTCCTCATGCCACTTTTATAAATCCTCATCTATCAATCTTCAGAGTATCTAATGTTGCACCTTTCCTAAAATATTGACATACATAGACACTTTTAGATTATAGTCTTCAACATGCATGGTTTTGAATAATGTGAATTTTGGGGAATCAGTTAAAAGTGTAAGATGCAGCTGCTACCATGAATATATTTAAATATTCATTCTTCACACCGAAGGTTTTTTACGCAATGAAATCAATTTGTCCAGACAAAAATGAAAAGGGAGAGGAAAAAAAGAAAGAAAAAGGAAATTTTTTTTATAAAAAAATGAAAAATAAAAATTTCAATATAAAATTTAAAAAAAAAAAAAAAAAAAATTAGGAAAGAGAGAGGGAGGGAAAAGGAAGAAGAAAGAATTAAAGTTGAGCCAATAGGTTGACCTAGAAACAAATTTTTCTTTAAAGGGCTGAACAGGTTAATATACTTAAAGATGGAGACTTCACCCCCACAAATTAAATGGGATATCATCTCTCAGACTCCTAACAACTTCCAGGATGGATGCAGTCTATGCATACAAGAGAAAATTATGATTAAATATAAAAATGCTGACCAATTATTGAATCAAAGAAACAAACTTATCTTCAAGTGTAGACAAATTCCCTATAAAACATTAACTTTGGAGGATATACCCTTGAAGTGTTGATTCTGTTTTATATGGGTACTAACATGTATGTGTACATGTATTCATATTTTTGTATATAGTCATTTATGTGATTGTCTTGTCTACATCATTTATAGTTTTAAATTATTAATTAATATTATTATTAATAATTTATCTTTGGTCTGAAGAGATGAATATTTAAATATATTCATGAAATAAATTATAACTAAAATGTATTTTTAAAGATTGTCATATATAAGTTTCATAAAAATGTAGTGTGGTTAAATTTTTTTTTTTTTTTAATTTTTTTTTTTGTTTGTTTGTTATAATTTGCTTTTTTTCTGGACATAAATTATGTAGAAATTGTCTGAATGTTTTGTATGCTTGAGTGCTTTTGGCATTACTTTTAGCCATTATCAAGGATGAGTTTTTATTTAAACTTGTATAGAAGTGGGAGTGCTGCACAAATACATACTCATATATATATATATATATATATATATATATATATATCTCTCTAAGAACCATAAAAATCACTGAGTGAATATTTTTTATAACTTTGTAATTATGATCTTGTGATTTAAAATCGAACAAAGAGGATTTCCCAATCGATTGCCAACATCATTGCAAAGTGTAAAAGATTTAGAAAATATTTACATTTATGCCAAGTCCTTGGAGTAATTTTTTTTTTTATTCATTTGGGATAATCTGAAAATATTTCAGAACATTCAGTTGATTTCTTTTTCCTCCTGGTTTTCCAGGAATTTATAATAAGAGATAATGTTAGATTCTGAAATAAAATCAAACCTCCTAAGAATTTTTATAAGCTTTTCTATAAGTAATTTTTCACTATATTAAACAAAAACATCTAAATTAGTAGCGTCTTATTTATAGCCATTCTTTTCATCATGATTGAACTTTTTTTTTTTTTTATTTACCAGAAAGAAAAAAAAATTCAAATAACTCTTTCAATGACTTTCTCTTGCAGTAAATAAAAAAAGAAAAGAAAAGTAAGTTAATTTCTGTTATAGCAAACTTTGATCTTGAAATTGAATTTATTTATATTCTGGGGAATTTTTTTTTTTTTTTTTTACTTGAAAATATTTGCTGATAAAATGATTTAAGTCAAATTAATAAAAAATATTGGAAACTTATTTGATGAAATTTTGTTTTTGTTTGTGTATGTGGTGAGATCTGAAAAATTCTATGGCAATATTTTGTAAGGTATATACTGGAGGGATGGATTCATTAATGTAAAATATTCCTTAACCTGTAGTCATTTAAAATCTTCAATCTTTTGCAGCCATCATATTAGCCTGTTGTACTTTTTATAAGGTGTGTGCAAAAATTCTCTGTATCCTCTTTTTTTGAAAGCATGAATGCAGAGTAAATTATTTTTTTTTTTTTACACATGAAAAATGCTTGGATCTTTTGCACACACAAAACAGTAATTAAGTGCCATTAATTTGGATAAATTAGCCATAAAATCTTCAAATTAAATGTTGTAAAGTCTGAGGTAATGTGAAAAAGGTTTGATTAAATGAAAACTAACATTGTTCCTGGATATTTTCATTTTGCAAAATGAAGGAAAAAAGAAGGAAAAAAAAAAAAGAAAGGAAATACTCAGAGCAAACCGTAATTTTATACATGTGTCTCTTTTCATGTTCCCAAACATGCGTCTCTTTTCATGTTCCCAAACATGCGTCTCTTTTCATGTTCCCAAACATGCGTCTCTTTTCATGTTCCCAAACATGCATGTTCCCAAACATGCGTCTCTTTTTCATGTTCCCAAACATGCGCCTCTTTTCATGTTCCCAAACATGCATGTTCCCAAACATGCGTCTCTTTTCATGTTCCCAAACATGCGTCTCTTTTCATGTTCCCAAACATGCGTCTCTTTTCATGTTCCCAAACATGCGTCTCTTTTCATGTTCCCAAACATGCGTCTCTTTTCATGTTCCCAAACATCTTTTTCATGTTCCCAAACATGCCTCTTTTCATGTTCCCAAACATGCGCCTCTTTTCATGTTCCCAAACATGCGCCTCTTTTCATGTTCCCAAACATTTTTCATGTTCCCAAACATGCGTCTTTTCATGTTCCCAAACATGCGTCTCTTTTTCATGTTCCCAAACATCTTTTTCATGTTCCCAAACATGCGCCTCTTTCATGTTCCCAAACATGCTTTTCATGTTCCCAAACATCATGTTCCCAAACATGCCCCTTTTCATGTTCCCAAACATGCATGTTCCCAAACGCATGCTCTTTTCATGTTCCCAAACATGTTCATGTTCCCAAACATGCGCCTCTTTTCATGTTCCCAAACGCATGCCTCTTTTCATGTTCCCAAACATCTTTTCATGTTCCCAAACGTCCTTTTCATGTTCCCAAACGTCTTTTTTCATGTTCCCAAACATGCCTCTTTTTCATGTTCCCAAACGTATGCCCTCTTCATGTTTTCATGTTCCCAAATGTTCCCAAACGTGCTCTCTTTTCATGTTCCCAAACGTCTTTTCATGTTCCCAAACATGTTCCCAAACGTATGCCTCTTTTCATGTTCCCAAACGTGCGCCTCTTTTTCTTCCCCATCCCAAACGCAAACCTCTCATTTCCCAAACGTCATGTTCCCAAACATGTTCCCCAAACGTCTCCTCTTTCATGTTCCCAAACATGTTCCCAAACGTGCGCTCTTTTTCATGTTCCCAAACGCATGCCTCTTTTCATGTTCCCAAAACATGTTCCCAAACGTCTCTTTCATGTTCCCAAACGCGCGCTCTTTTCATGTTCCCAAACGTATGCTTTTCATGTTCCCAAACCTCGTTTTCATGTTCCCAAACGTCTCTTTTCATGTTCCCAAACATGCCTCTTTTCATGTTCCCAAACATGCGCCCTCTTTTCATGTTCCCAAACATGCGCCTTTTCCCAAACATCCCTTTTCATGTTCCCAAACATGCTCATGTTCCCAAACATGCGCCTTTTCATGTTCCCAAACATGTTCCCAAACATGCGTCTCTTTTCATGTTCCAAATAGAATTTTCATGTTCCCAAACATGCCTCTTTCATGTTCCCAAACATGCCTCTTTTTCATGTTCCCAAACATTTTTTCATGTTCCCAAACATGCATGTTCCCAAACATATGTTCCCAAACATTTTTTCATTTCCCAAACATGATGTTCCCAAACATTTTTCATGTTCCCAAACATTCTTTTCATGTTCCCAAACATGCGTCTTTTTCATGTTCCCAAACATATAAACATCTATTTCATGTTCCCAAACATGCGTCTCTTTTCATGTTCCCAAACATGCGTCTCTAACAAATAGAATGCAAAAAGAAGGAATAACTTTTTTCAAAGCATCACTATAAATTTGCTTCAATGAAATTGCTTTGCTGTCTTTTCTCATATATCTATTCAAAATTCAGTGACACATTCTGTAAAGCTTTGCTTATTACTGAAGCACAAGAGATATTTTCTGAAAGGGTTTTCTATAAATGTATAAATCCATTTGTAAGATTTTTTCTACAGATTTTGTTGGTTATTTTTGTTTTAACATGTTTCTACAAAGAAATAAATTTGGTTTGGTAATACGTGGCACACTTGTGCATGTGGTTGCACATGCCAATACTGAATTGTGTTTTATCTAACAGAAAAGAAATCCTTGCATTCTCTTGTGGGTTCAATCCTGCATCCCTCCTTTGTAGAGGAAACCACTGTCTAATCTGATGTCTCTCAAATGAGCACAAAAAAAAAAAAAAATAAAAAGAAAGACAGGACTTCTAATCAAACATGGGTATACAGAAAAATGTTTGTCATCATACAAAGTGTGTGTGTACAAGCATCTATCTATCTATCTCTCTCTCTCTCTCTCTCTATATATATATATATATATATATATATATATATATATAAATATTAGAGGCGATAGTCCATTTCATGCTAGATGCAATCATCAGGCCAGACGATTGCATCTAGCATGAAACAGACTGTCGCCTCTAAGTGTTGACTTCTATGTCCCTTTTATATTTACACATGCTCTATCTCTGATATTGAACACTTTATCCCATAAATATAGCACATCTTAAGACTATATTTCTTTATCGTACATTGAGTGCTACTGTTAATAAAATAGTGCTCAGTGCAATATAACAGAGCTATAAACTATATATTAATAAATATACATATTTTTCTCACCGGTAGCATGCCTCAGAGTTTCATGCACAACATAATCTTCAGTAACTCAGACCCTGAAGATTGTGTTTCTGCACAGAACTCAGTCATGTTACCAGTGAGGGAAAAATATTTATTTTATATATATATATATATATATATATATATATATATATATATATATATATATAAAAAAAAGGCTTAAACACGAATATTTCAATGGAATAAATTATGACCATGGAATATTAGTGTTTAAGCCTTTTTATTATATCCTTACCCTGTCCTAGACATTGAGTTCTACCTGGATCCTTCCTCTTGGAAAATTTTTTTCTGAAAATATACATGTATGGGAATTTTTTATATATATTTTGCATATGTATGTATATTTTCCACTAATATTATATATATATATATATATATATATATAAAATTGCCTCTATGTATTTTTAAGTTGCTTTAATATTTTCAGTTTACTTTGCATATAATTGAAATTGAAGCTTTCCAGTAATTCCCTTAAATTGATCTTTAGAGATTTCTGTCATCTCACTTAAGTTTTTTTTTAAAAGATTTTCTGACACTTACATTTCAGGATTTTATGTAAAGTTTTATATTTTTTATGTTAGTTTAATCATTTTTAAGAAATAAAGCATAACAAAATGTTTATTTTGATGTAAAACTGAAATATTTTTTTATTGAAAATCCTTATTGAATACAATTAAAATAATTGGTTTTCAACTCTGATCTTTATACAAAAATTTGGAAGGTTGAATTTTTCTTTTTGAAGCATAGAATATTTTTGACAAGAATTTATTTTTTCTCTATCATTTTAGAATGCATGTGACCAAGCTGCCAGTATGATAGCCAAAGAGGATTGGGTTCATGCCTCTCATTAATTATATTAATATAATTAATATAAAAGTGGCATTGTGTTTCAAAATTGACTGATAGTCAACCAATTCTTTTTTTCTTTTTCTGTGTTAGTATCAAATTGTAATAGAATAAGTAGAATTTAAATAAATAGCAAGAGATCAGAATTGATGTTGATTAAGGTTTTTGGATTTTCCTTGTCTTACTTTACTCCTCATCTTTTAATGATGATTTAGGGTAACTTGCTTAACTTTTCAGAGATGGGGGAAAAAAGGTTTTTGTTACCAAGAACTCAACTGTACTATTTTCATATAAAAGAAATGCTCTGTGGAAAGTGCCAACATCTTGTGTCTACTTGAAGAAACTGAAGACGACATCAAGCATCATTTTCGTTAATCCTAAGCGTATTCTATATTCATGTCAGCTCAGATTAGGGAAGTAAATGTTTGCATCTAAAGATAGTAGAACATGAATGAATGCTGTAAGGGAAAGAATGAAAACCGCTTATGAAAATGTGGAAAGAGAGAAAGGTTAAAAAAAAAAAATTGGAGTGCTTCTTGGAGAGAGCGAGAGAGATGGTAATTGGGAAGGAATCTCCAACTATGAATGAAACAGAAAGTTTGCTTCTAATGTGAAAAAGATGAAAAAGAAAAAAAAAAAAAAGGTAAAATTGCTTTCAGTCTGTTTCTTCTCTTGATTTTTTAACTACTTAATTATTGATGGCAGATTGAATTTTCTAACTTTTATTAAATCAGCTTGAAAAGCAACAGGTTCATAATGCACTTGTCTGCCTAGCTATTAGTCATTTTGAATTATTTGTTACTGCCACTCCTCAAAGTCTCAAACATTCCTACATATTAGTGTGAATTTGGTGATTTACTTATCTGCCTTATGGCTTCAACCAACTAACCACTTTGTATTATTTTCAATGTTTATATATTGCCAAGGTTTTACTGAATTCATCCACCCATCTATATTTGCAAATCTGCAAAATTATTCTCATGCTAGCTTTGTTGTTTGGCATTGTCGGAAATAAAAATGGCCTAAGAATCATTGCCATTTGATTATTTTGGTAATTTTAAATAGCATTAGTTATAAGGGGTTTGAACTGTATTTGATAACCAGGAAAAAATGTGTGTGTAAGAGAGAGACCAATATATAAAAAAAAAAAAAAAAAAATGAACAAATAGGGAAGTGTTTCTCAACCTTTTCAAGCAATGGCACACCTAGGAGCAAATGAAAATATCACAGCATTTTTAGCAAAATTTTTAAAGGATATACATTTAAATTTTATGAGATAAAACCATAGCTATAAAAAAATACACACACAAATATGAAATTACTTTATTTCAATGTTTCTATTCAAGTAGTATTTGTGAAGCTTATTTAGTAAAATATTAACACTGTACAATTACCACGCACGCACACACACACACACATATATATATATATATATATATATATATATATATATATATATGCCGTGATGATATTTCATGGCATGGTGGTTAAGAATCACTGAAATAATCCTGTGTACATTGCTTTGAATGTCTTTGAAATCCCAATGGAATCCGATAGTGAGTTAGTGTTGATTTAATGAAATACATAAGGGTAGATCAATATGTTTGTAGTCTGACATGTAGTTATGAATTGAATTTTGATCTGAAATTCTGTTTATAATCTTCAATCAATGTGATTAATATTCAATATTGTGCTAAGCTGCTATAGCCTACACAAATCGTTTCTTACAACTATACCAGCATGATAATGCTGTTACTAACAGAAACCTCGTTGTACCTGCTTGTTAGTCAATGTTCACTGATAGTTAGACATTGTATAGCATTTCACAAGTTTACTAATGCCTCTGTAAGACTGTGTTAAACAAGAAGACATCCACAACCCCTCCTCTCTTCAATCAGTTTGAAGTTTTCTGATCTACTACTGATAAAGCAAAATGCTTTGCTCATAAATTCTCTTCCAATTTCACTCTTGACTCATCAGAATTATCTTTGCCTGATATTCTACATAGAAATCTTTACTGCTTGATATACATGTAACTACATCCATATTTTCTGCTACAATCTAGTGTAGTTCCTGTCTTTAAGAACTTTGGTAAATCATCTAATCATCTGAATTGTCACCCTATTAGTCTTCTACCTCTTTTTGGCAATGTTCTAGGTGCTTAAATCAACTCCGAATTGGTTTAGCATGTCACTTCACATGGTCTTCTTTCAGACAAACAATATGGCCATTTCTTCTCTAGGTCAACAGCAGATAGGTTAATGATTATTACTGAAAGAGTTTGTCAAGCTTTAGATAAGAATGGTGACACTTGGTTTGCAACTTTAGATATTTCAAAGGTATTTAACATAGTCTGGCATACTTGTCTTCTTTACAAGCTGAAGTTCTATGATTGATCCAGTCTTTCTTAACAAATTGTGTAATGAAAGTCATGTTGAACTTTCATTACACAATGACCACTTTTAGATCCTTTCACATTAATGCAGTGGTCCCGAGGGCTCTATCCTTGAATTACTTTGTTTCTTATCTTCATTAATGACCTTCCTGGTGCCATGGGTTCCAAACTTTGTATCTATGGTGTAACTATTTACTCCTGTCTGAAAACTAAATTAGATAGATTCTATAAAGTAAGACTGGCGCCTGATCTCAAAAATGGCCATCACTCTGTTGTTAATTGGGGCAAGAAATGGCTTGTTAATTTTTACACTTCCAAAAGAAAACTGCTCTTTTTTAGTCATCTTAAAAAACTGTTTTTGCCTTTCATCAGCATGGCTGATGCTAACATCTAGGAAAGCAACTCCTTACACTTTGTTGGTCTCATATTTTTTACTCACATAAAGTGGAGTGATGATATTGGATTGCTTGCTAGGTAAGTTGTTTCATTGTGTTGTGCTGTGTCAGGCTATTTTTCTTGCCAGAATTCAACTTGCACTTTTATAAATGCATCATCTATCCATGCATTGGTACTACATCTAGTCTGGTGCTCTCAAGATTCTTGACAAAATTCAAGGAAAGGTTTGTAATGTTATTGGTCCTGACCTGGCATCGTGGCTTCAGACACTTTCTTACTGTCATAACATAGCTTCTTTCTGTTTTTTTTTTTTTTTTTTTCTATAAATATTTTCATGGCAATTGATCTGATGAGCATTTCCTCTTTGGTCCCTTGACTTCATGAATTTAAGTCTAATGCTAGATTGGTAATTAGGTCTCATCATTTTACACTTGAAATAGCAAGATGCAGCTATGTTCTATTTTAGTTG